GAAACACTTGGTTTGTTTCGCTTTTAATTTCTCGTATTATCAAAACATAGTGTTCGTTAAATCGATTTTTCTCGAAAACGGATCGAGATACCGAAATGAAACAAGAATACATAATTAATGGAAAAATGATTGCTCTTTCAGGTTTTGAATCAAGTTTCATGTTAGATATACAGGGTAAAAAGTTATTAACTAAATTTTCGGTAAAATTGGTCATAAGTGGCGCCCTCTATGAGCAATGCTGAAATTACAACACGCATCTTATTCGTCGCCTAAAAAAATATAGTTTCACAAATTTTCAAGTTCCTAACCTACATATTTTCAGAATAATCGCAAAAAAACGATTTAAAATTTTAACTTTCAACACCCTGTATTTCTGAAACTATCAACATTCGGATAAGGCATGTTTACGCCAATGGTCACCATTAATACGAATAATTAATGAATCACCCTGTATACTTATTACTTATATTACAATTTTTATAAATAAAGGCGCTCCTCTATTTCCATTATCATATATTTGAGTTCCCACAGCAATTTTGAAATTCCGGCGACCATAAAACACCCTGTATAATCGGCACACATATAAATTAACTAAATCATAAATCCACGCTGGTTAGGTAGATTTTTATGAATATTTTTAGTCATTTTCCGTCATTATTCACGAGTAATTTCTGTCACGCTCTTTTTATCCAACCATTTAAATGACCGACGTGGTGCGGCTATTATATTTAACATTACCTTCATTATTTACTTTCGTGCGCCGTCCTAGAGACTTTATTTGCCTACTATTTTTCTTTACGCTTCACGAATAAACCCTGGGGCAGATTTCAGGAAGAAAAAAGGGTTTATATCCAAATAAACCTGGGAGGTTTGCAAACTGGAGTGAATTTATATATTTAATGTATAATAATAAAGTGGATTTAAGGTTTTATGGTTATTTCTCACGCTATCAACAAAAGCCTCGGCGAATGTTTAAAAACATGTATCCTAATAAAAAAAAAATAATGATTGTATAATATTTTTGGGTAGCTACAATTAGAAAATAAATACATACACAATTTCTTTGCAAAACTGTCAAATATGATCTATCATTCCTTAAATTATGACAGTTGTTGGTTAAATGTACAGTATGGTGGAAATGATTGTACTTTGACTTTGAACAAAAATCCTGAAATAGGTCAATTATGTTTAAAAGTGCGTCTGCAAGATATTTCTTTTACATATGACGTCATCTATGTGACAGTGATGATGTTATCGGTATAATTTTTAATAGGTTATGCGATAGTTTTTTTGAAAGGTCTTGCAATTCTCTATTCATCCATATCAAAAAGTTTAGGTAATGGAATTTTGTATGCGAAAGAAAAAATTCTAAAATTACAACAAAACATGTATTTTTCACAATCAATAGATTTTCAAACTGATAATACTCAATTAAAATACAGTGAGAAAGACGAGCAGATTTCTTTTAGAAGTAAAGTACACAAAAATAAACCACAAAATCTAGTTGCATTAAAAGAACACATTTAGGTGGAGATGGCATAAATAACTCCTGAAGTTATAGATAAAGTTTACTGTTCGTCTTTTTCGAACAGTTTAAAACTTTTTTTGGCGCTATACCAAATTCTATTACCTAAAATTGGTATAGTTGAATAAAGAACTACAAAACCTTTCAAAAGAGCTATCGCATGACAAACATCTATCTGTATTTAAAAAAGCATCGATGACGTCATTACTGTCATAGACATGACATCATATGTAAAACAAATATCTCGCAGAAACCACATGTAAAGTAAAAAATTGGCTCATTTCAGAATTTTAGTTCAAAGTCACCGATTTACGAAATAATGAATTTATTCCTTTTATCTGCATCACGTTGTATTTTCTTAACAAAAAGGTAAGTAACGACAGATAAATATTATATCATATCTAGACATCGGGAACTATATGCCGACAACCAAATAAATAAACAGTAGTGTCTAATCTATGTTATGCTAGTAAGCTACAATACCCGTTGCAGTAGCAGAAGTAGGCTAAAAGTGTGGTCAAGCCGCTTGTAGGACTATGCTCACAATACATAATGCTACTGACTGTCATAAAAATACGTGCCATACACTCGACCAAGCAAAGCGTCACAAACAACAAACTACAATGAAATGTACAGCCAAGGTCCCTCCGCAAAAAACCTGACACACCAAGTACAGGGCAGGCATTAGGGTGCAGCTAGATGCGTATCGAATAAATTGACCGATGCGCAACTTCAGATGAGACACATGTACATATTATTGTACAATATGCGCGGATAGTGGGATTACTAAAGCGTGAACTAGTTGATGTTTCGCCACCATTGGTAAAAATAGCATGTATTAAAAACTTCGACTATTTTATATATGTATCTGTAAATGTTAAACGGTTATTTTCGTTTATGAAATTTTATCCATCGCCGCAGATGATTCAAGGTAAAAAAATGCTCCACCCTTGTCCAACACGAAATACTTGACGTGAACTCAACCTTCTCGTCGTCAATTAAGGCTTCTTAATTATCTTCTCCGCGCGCTGTTTCGTAACAAAAAGCGCGCCCTCGTTGTCACACGATCCGTGCAACTTTGTAGTCACTTTTTGGGATGCACCGCGCGACCGTATTAAAATTTCTTGCAGCAGATAAGACCTACGTAAGTACATTAATCAAAATTCGCGCCGGGGCGGCATCCGGGGTAGGTACATCGTTCCCAGTACGTGTTAAACATTTTGAAGTTGTTGTAAACTCTAATAATTCTCATTTCCAGCCGCGATGCTGTAATAAAGGTTACGTGAGGACTCCGGAATTATTTTTCTCGGATCCACACAGACACGTAAGCGTTATTTGTAAAGTTTAGCTACAAATTTAAAATAATTTCAGTAGTTCGGTGGAGGTTTTAATGTTCTCTGTTGCTTCATATTCAGGCTAACGTTAACTCTTTGGTAAGTTAATACCTATACCCAGTTGTAGGGTGTGACATACATTTTAATTGAGAAACGAAAACAGATATGAACATAAGAACATACTTTTCGTCCTGCACTTGTACACTTTGGTATCGAATATATTTGTCAGAAAATTTAATATAACAGACGCCCATTGCATTTGCATTATTTTCGTTTTGTTCTGATGGGTCACCACTGCGTATGCATAACATTTACTTGAGATTAAAACAGAAGTCATTTATGATATTACGCCGTAATGTCGATTCCTTTAATCTCGATGTTCCAGATCGTCTTTTAGCCCTACCACATACTCCCGGCGAGGTAATGTGCAGCACTGTCGCCGTAGCGGTGCCGCATCTTCGCCGAACGTGTGTAATAGGCTTTAAGCTACTACCTCAAAATTTCCTTCTAAGTGTATTATGATGTCATTCCCGCTACAAATGTATATGAAAAAATTTAAGAACATTCCACTGGGGCTAGAGAGGCTTTTTTTAATATGACATCCTACATTTTTTCACACTTTCTTACATCAAAAATAAGATACCGAGTGTTAAATCTTACATTGACGTTTGCCAAATTGAATGTTATCATTGAAATTAAATTAATTGATAAGAAGATTTATAATATTTCGTTTAATGCTTTATACAACATTTTCATTTCCTCTCTAAAGAGGAAAAATATTAAATAAGTCTTTTATACAACGAATTTTTACTTATCTCTGGTAGTTTGTCAATTCTCGGAACGGATATGCCAACTCAGACAGAAAAATATTTCATTCAACATAATTATTGAAAAGGTAAGGGTTTTCAAGTTGGTTTATCGTCGCCATAAAGTTGTCCAGAGACTAGTGCCTCTTGTCACCGGGAGTGAGTTGACTTAGACCGTCCGGGCCATGTGTTGGGTATCTGGTATCTACGGTGTAGCCCATGGGAAAGGGAAAAATCGATATTGCTAATAACGCGCGAAATACATTCAAAAAGGCGTAGGAATTTCATGATATTTAAATAAGTTGTTAGAATGTTGTGAGGAAAATAATAATAGATCAAATAACTGGTTTTTAGGCGAATTTTCCAAGCTATAAGAATAGATTAAATGATATTGACTAATCCGTGGCGTGTTGCTATACGAGTCACAAGAGGAAGGTGTAGGGTAACTTGTAAGTTCCGTTTATTTACAAAATTATCCATAATTGTAAATTCAGTCAGTTAGGTATTAACACGGTATAGTTAAGCCATTTCAACCCCCGATATTCAGGGATCCCGCCAATAAGATAACAACCGAAACTTCTGTACCCAAGAAATGGGCGTGTCGAAGCGAGGTATCGAATTCAGGAGAAATCTCCGAAGAAGGCAGTTTTCTTAATTTTAGAGTCTCAGGTTAATTGAATAATGGATAAAGTCCTTCCAAATTATGCTATGAATTCGCATTGGGTTCCCTGAATCTCGGATTGCGTTATTACGTGTAAATTAATTAATAATGATTGTTCGAATCCGTTTTGTCTTCGTTATTTTGTTTGTTTTATTTTATTGTTATTAAAAAGCTTCCTTGAAGTCTTGGTGTTTCCTTGTTCTTCCAAATTAAGTGTCCATCGAACATTGAACAATTCTATAGTTGTAGACTTTTTTAAAAAGTGTAATTTAAGGGTTTATTATGTGACCAAAAAATAAACAAAAAATGGTTATCCGTTTCTCAGCTATTTGCTAAAAATAGCTCAATTTTCCAACGTCGACCACACATTAAAAAACTGAGCCAATCTGGCAACGTATTTGACGATATGTCTTCTTATAATTTTTTGCCAATTGCTGTATCCACTCTATATGATATCGTTAAAAGCTATCAGAAGTGATAAAATTACATGAAATTATTTCAGATTTAGTACTAAAGTACATACTATAAAAGTTTAATTACTAATCACGAGTGTAACACAACTGTCTTGTGCAGTTCACGAAATTTCAATAAGAAGTGCCCATAAAAAAAATTAATGACCATTTTCCTCTATAAATATTTCCACACGAACCTCTTTTGCAAGTTTGCCTAACGAAATGGTGTTTCGGTTGATATACTTGCTGGTACTGCTCTTCATACATTTGAAGGTAAATACTATCAGTGTTAGGAGAACACTTTACTACTTTACCCCAATGAATAGGTATATTTTTAGCTTTAATCATCTAAATTAAGTTAAAAGTATTATCTGTGATTGTGTTTTTTTTTCAGAGCGGTCAACAGTTGTATCAGACCAGCGATGTGATGTCACGACCAGGTCTCTTTACAGCTGGAGCTCCCCATGTCAGTCCGTACACTGTAGCCATCATCAGGGAAAACAACTGGCACAAAAGATGTGCTGGCACGCTTATCTCTGATTCTTTTGTACTGACTGCAGCTCAGTGTGTAGATTGGTGAGTAATGGAACAAAAATTAGATATCATCTGCCAAAATATTTCAATTCTCCAGTATTTGAAGTTTCTGTAATAATTCATACCAAGTAGAAATTTTGCAGTTCAATTAAGGGATACACTGTACTAGCATTTTTGCTCTGATTGAAGATTGGTTGCTTTGTTACATGCTTTCAGTGAGTCTGCCGAGGTAATACTGGGAGCATACGACATCCTAGTCAGAGAAAAAACTCAAGTCCGACAATATATTTCTGAAGATGACGTCATATTCCATCCATATTATGACCCCAGAACTTTGGATAACGACATAGCTCTTGTAAAGCTCCCCATGTCTGTGAAATTAACTCCGTTCGTGAATATAGCTGAACTACCAGATGAAGACTTCCATTTGGACTACGGAACCAAGGCGTACGTTACAGGGTGGGAAAAACGTCTGGCTGGCTATTCTAACATCCTTACTCAAGCAGAAGTCTCCATTCTCAGCAAAGATAAATGCATAAGGTAACTGAAAAACTAGTAGGTACTATGCATACTAAATTCAAGGGTGATTACATAATTGGGTTATTCGTTTGTTGATATTTGAAAAGCTGTTTTGTTTCGACACTTACAAAAAATGTTCAAAAATACGTTTTTGTTTTTTATTATAATATTTATTTCGCCTCATGACATATATCTTTTTCTCTATTCAAAAGTTGTCAAAACTGATTGCGTTTTGTATTTCCTACCTTTGATAATTAAACTGTCGTCATTCGTTATGTGTTTCATCAAAATGGAACACCAGGACAGCCACTGGGGTAAGAATGACAGAAGTGAAGGAAAATATGCTGAACATGATAGATGAAGATCCAGATTTCCGCTAAAAAAATTGTAAATGCTTTTGATGTTAGTAATGGGACTATGTGGAAAATTTTGAGGCAGCTGTTGTTGTACCCATACCACATTCAAATCGTTCAGATAGTTGTTCCAGCTTATTTTCCTTTATTTTGTCAATGGCTTCTGCATTAATTGGTTCGAGTACTGTCATTTATTATTTTTACCCATAAAGCAAATATGTCAAGAAAAGCAATGAGTTTTCACAATAGTCACGTAGGTATGGGCTGATTGGTAGAGGTACACCTCACTTATAGCCCGCTACCTGATATCATTGGTTTACACTATTCCGGTGGAAAATTAAGATTTAGGAAATCGGACTGAAAGAGTTCGGCAGCCAATGACGAGAAGATTGATTTACTGGAAGACTGGTGGTGGTCGATTTTAATAGTTCTTGTAGATTAAGGCATTAATCATCCTGTATCTTCGAAACAAAACGGCTTTCCAAATATCATCAAAGGTCAAAATATTCTTAAAACAATCCAAAGAATCACCCCTTTATTTTTTTGCGTATGTGTTTGAATTTCAGTTAGCTTAATATCTTTCCAAATAAAGTAATGATATATACTGGTTTTGAGAAACACTGATCTTCATTTCTTTCCAGCTTTTGGCCAACTGCCCGCATCGCCGATAACAAATTTTGCGGCAGCAACACCAGGAGGGAAGGTCAAATTCCGCACCTCCTTGGAGCCGACTGCATCATCGACCCCGGCAGTCCCCTGACTCTTCACGGTAATCCGGATATACTCATCGGCTTCGTATCAGGGGATGCTAGGTGTGGTTCGCTCTTGCCGGAAATCTTCACCAACGTCGCCAGTCACAAGAAATGGATCGATGAAGTGGTTGGTAGTTCCAAAGGAATATCGTCGGATTATCTTAAAAATGAATATATGGGGCAATAGTTGCATAACGCAATGACTAATGCAATGATTAGTCAATTTAATAAAGACTTGACTATCCACTTGTTTATATTTTTCTGTATTTTTCTTTCACAAAAAGTAAATAAAGATGAACAAGTTGAGAATGAACATTGAACAGTCTTGACATACCGCTGATTGAAAAAGGTTCTTTTGTTTATTTTTAAAAATATTTTATTTTGCAATCACTACAAATACATCTGTTCAACTAATTTCTAGATGTTTTCGTATTTACATTTACTTTATTGGCAATTCTAATGCAATTGTGAAGTTGCTTTCAATTTCTGGCGGAAACTAATAATATTCCATTACAATGGGACTAATAGTACCACTAGTTATAAATGTACACATAAAAGCAGGACAGCAAATGGTTATAGTAACTTCAAGTGACATATTTTCTTTCATAATCAGAAATTTTGGAGTACAACTGCAGTAACCCACAAGTATAACAAAAATAGGTCAATTAGATGGAATATTTATATTCCTTTTTTTGTACGTAGTTTTTACTAATTATTTTTCAATTACTAGATTGCCCTTATATACAATTATTAATTTTCACAGTTTAATTGATACTTAAAGATTTAATAAAATACCAAGAACTTCTGAGCTTGATTTTCAGCTCATTATTGGAAAATGGTCACTTATTTTATAGAATGAAACCGGGCGTATAATTAAGACAATGTAACTTCCTGTTTTCTAATTATATGGTATTATTAGAACAGACTTATTAGACGCTTTTTTTATAAGATGTGCAAATTAATTTACTTTCTTCATATACGCATATTGATTACTATTTTGAAATTAACAATAATTAGAAGTGATATAGAATGTTTTATACGACTATTCAAGAATGATAGATAGCAGCAAATACACAGGTAGATTGACTAATGTTTTCAGTTCAATACCTTTATAAAACCAAATGTATTATAGTTTTAGATATTTAATGTAATAATTTCAATAACAAAAAAGGACACATATTAAATTACTTAGAATTACACTGGCACTGTTCTATTAGGCAGACCCTGTCATTGTAATGGTTTTAGTCCTATTGAATAGGAGTTTGAAGTCAATCTGGTCTCAGCACTCACAATTTTCAAGAAAACGATTCCTAAATATCCAAAACATGGGTTATTTGCGCATCTTGTTCTTCGAGTTTTTACGTAGCAGACAAAGATATTTCAAACCAAAGATAAAATATCCTAATGTGTCGTCAGATCCAAAACCAATAAGCTCTTCAAAATGCAATACAATACATCCACTGGAAAATAGTTCTTCCGCAGAAGAAGAGTCTATGGAAGTGGATATCTTTTCACAAGGAACTACTGAAGACGAAGAAATCTTATGAGAAAAAGATGAGAAGGAATATGAAGAGGAACACGATGATAGTAACTACCATGCGATGTAAAGAGATATCCACATCCACAATGTTTAATCAGACTGAGTTATATGATCTTATTGCAACCAAAGGTGAATATTTAATTAGAGAATTGAGAAAGAAATCTTCTGTCTGAAGGAACCAAATCTTCTGAGTATCAATCACGAGAAACAGACGTTCAGAAAAATTTTCTTCAGATGATGGTTAATGTGTTGTTCTGACATTGGAGTTAAAAAACATCAACATTTATAAAAAAGAAGGGAATGAAGGTTATTCATTGAGAACTTGACGGTAGTTCAGTTGATTAATTGTAAGAATGGTTCAATTCCAATAGCAAACTTAATAAAACTGAACGAAAGCTGCGATGATATGAAGTATGTATTAGAGAAAATAAGATATTCAGAGCACAAGTTTCGAGTTTATGAAGATTTAAAATAATTATTATCTTGTGATAGCAATTAGGATTTACTAAGTATCCCTGCTCTTTGTGTTTTTGGGACAGTAGAGGGAGAAAGAATTACTATGAGCAAAAAACTCTGCAAAGCTCTTTTTCCTATATTACACATGCATTGTTACAGCTCCGGACAGGGGGTATATTCGGCGAACCCCAAATTCTTAAAATATTGCGTGATGAAGATTTTGCATTAAAAATAATTGAAATAGTGAAGGTTGCAACGCAGAGTTGCAAAAATATAACAGGAATCTTTTCGGGTAATCAAAAAGTCACAATTATAAAACTTTAGTCGCGAAAATGGGGGAGAATTTCAGATAACTTGGATGTTTACTGAAATAGAAATTGCACTTTATGGACTCCTCGATAACTGAAGTGCAAGGTGAACGATTTCAACAAGATTTAAAGGTAATAGAAAGAGGTATCAAGGTAATACAACATGCATATGATGAAGGACTATTGTTGGATGTTGCAAAGAGAATGTAAGGTTAGAGATAAAAAGAGAAAGACAAACCCGCTACATACATTTGTTAAATACAAAAGAGTTAATAATAAAATAAAACAATTTTACTCTAAATCGCATACTGTGGCGTCTGCATTTTTTCGAAAATGGTAGGTGCTGGTGCTTGTTTAATTACCACGGTAAAAGTAGCAGCATTTGGTACTATTCTACCATTCGAGCGATAAGCTGCTAATGTATTTTGTCTTTCTTCGTCATAAATTAAAACAATCTTCACTAATTATGTGTTACTACACATATGGACCAATTTATACATTTTAAGACTGATGTAAACAATAAACGAGCGTAATAAGGAAACGTAATACGAGCACTATGAAAACCATTGAAATACTGAGTACCTAAATAGGAATATATTGTGTCAAATAGGCAAGGTAAATGAGCGTGCGCAAAAAACTTCCAGATCCATTTTAATAAATACACTAATTATCCCACTGCGTAGTACTTTTAAATATAAAAACTTGTAAATATTTTATTTAAAGGAGGAGGGTTCCTAAGGCCGGTTTTTGGCCTAATTTATTTTTGGCTGAAAAAATCTGAAAAATTTTTTTTGAGTACCTACTAGCAATACTGAATCGTTTCCACCCTAAACGGACCAATCCCCTCACCCTCCTTTCCCCCTCCACCCCCTTAAATGAAATGACACATATTTACATTGAATAAAACGAAAAAGAAGAAATCAATAATTAATTATACATACATGTTTATGCATATTTGTTTAGCCACTTTGAAGTTCGTGATTCTGAATTCATAATTGTAATCAGTGATCCAAGAAAGTTTCTATAAACAAATATTTGAGGATTATGAAGATCTTTTTAATTTTTATATGGAATACGTCATTTTGAATTTCGTAATTCCGCATTCAGATTCGTAGTCAGAGACCCAAAAAACCCCACAACACAAATATTCATGCATTTTAAAGACATTTTAATTTTTTTGCTCCGCCATATTGAATCCGCCATTTTGAATTTCGTAATTTAGAGTCCAGATTCGTAATCATAGACCCAAAAAACCCCATTACAAAAAATTCATGCATTTTGAAGGCATTTCAATTTTCTATATATCTATATATTGGATCCGCCATTTTGAATTTCGTCATTCTGAGACCAGATTCATGATCTGCGACCCAAAAACCTCTTCATATATAAGATTCATAGGAATTGAATGTCTTTCGCATCTCTAAGCTCTTTAAAGATTCCTCTAATAAGCGATGGTTTCCCCGGCATTTAAGGGGGTGGAGGGGAAAATGAGGGTGAAGAGGTTGGTTCCTTTAGGGTGGAAACGATTCATTATTGCCTGCCATAACATTCCCTGTGTAACATTCCCTTAAAGTGTAACATATCAGACTATCCAATATTTGTCACCGATTGTCGAAAAACGTGATAATAATAAAAGTTTATAGAAAAAAGGTACTTTTGTATGATTTATTTTGTAGTAATACTTATTGCAGAAATTATTACAATATTAATGACACACGTGCTCACGTTTGTCGCGTTTGTAATTTTTTTATAGCAGCATTGTGAGACATGACAGTGTGACCTCACAGTATGGCGTGTGACTGTTGCTGTAATAGTAGTGAAATGATTCACAAGGAGTTCTTCTATTGAATTAACGAATTAATTTTACTGAAATTATCAAAAAGGTGAAAAGTGAAGTACCGCCCATTTTCTCGTCATTTTGTTCGGGCATTTTTTATATCAACCGAGTGTATTTTATAGCTTTTCAACAGAAGTGGTATCCAAGACAGGGCAAATTTGAAGTTTAACACATGTAATTATTTAAAAAAGAAGTAATCACCTGTAACAATCAAGTTCAGTTTCGTCGAAAATTGATTTTATATTTTCAACATTTTATGTGATGTTTACATTCAAATAATCTATAGCTCTATTCACCTCAGTATTAATTTTCTTTTTATAGCACTCCTCACGAAACTAGATAAAATCCGGACATAAAAAATTTATGAATATTTGTCGGTATAAGTACTGACAAATAGTCGCATTTAAACAGTACACTTAGCGAGATGGTTTTCCATAACGTTTTTGTGATAGTGATACTTCTTGCATTATTTAAGGTAAATATAACGTTTTCTTCCCTCTTTGGTAATTAATAAAATAATGTTAAGGATTAGCTACCAATGAACTTTTATTAAAACTAGCTATTAATAAATTTATTGTTTCTCAAGTTGATAGTTTACCACAAAACAGTTTCATGGCATTTTCAATAAGTAATAATTATCTACTTATTGATGAACTTAAAAATAATTTCAGTCACTATGTATGTTTACAATTTTATATTTGGTCTAGACAATTTATTTCCTTTTATAAAGTCGAAATGGTTTTTTGAATGACACTTTTTACTTGTAATTTAACAAATTTTATGGAATTTTCTTGAACATTTCCTTTGTATTTATTTCATATACAGGGTGCTTTGGAAAAAGGTACTATAGATTGATGGAACTTTTTTCTTTAATAAATGTGAAAATATTAGAGCAGATCGTTTTCTCACTGATTTCTTTTTATCACCCCATATCAAAAAAGTATTTTCGAATATGGTTGATTTTGGAACAAGACTAACGAAAACTTGAAAACTTACCTATACCAAATTTTAGATACATTATACTGGTTTTTGGAAAAGATATGGCT